CTCATTCCACACTCAACCAAAAAATGTTGGGTAAGCTCAGGCAGGTATATATACACTAGAATAGACCCTCTGCCAAGTCAGAATGGGAATATCTGCTGTGGTTGAAGAGAGGGAGAGAAAACGGGTCCTGTAGGCCATGGGAAAGAAACAGTGTCCACTAGATCTCTCATGATGCTCACAACGGACTGCAGCGGAATGGCTTGGGGTATCATTAATATGCTGTCTACAGTACAATACACCAGCCCGATAGAGTAAATAACGAGCGTGTCGAGATAGAGAGGCAACTTTGCACATCTCCCGGGCCCATATCGTGACAAAAGCGTGACATCGCTCGCGGCGAGATCCCACTGTGACCGCATGTGACACCTTTTTGCAGAACCCCCTACATGAACCGGCATCTCTCTCCTACGTTCCACAGGCTGCATAAAAATGCACAAAAATAATGGGGACGTTCATTACTAAGTTACACACAATATGCGGAAGATCCGATAAGAATCTGTCAAGTGTGCGGAATGCTACAGGCCGGATTCGATACTTTTTGCAGAACCCCCTCGATGATAGTATAGTTTCTCCCGAAAAACGTGGTTCTCGCACAGCGACGGAAGGAATGAAAATAATCTGGCCAGTGCTTGCTCATACTTGACCCCGACTAAAAATGCAGACAGCCGATAGTACCTATGTACTGTCCAATATTATGTACATATCGGGTACCGTACTAGAGCAGAGCGGAACAAGATCGGGTATACTACCAAAGTACATATTCATACAGTACATATGCATACAGCGAATATGTACATCGGTCGCATTTTCATCTCACGCAGTAGCTCCCGTGTGGATCGCCAGAGCATCGTACGCGCCAACGGTTGCGGAGAACGTGCCGTCCGACGCAACAGTAATCCTACATAAACACCCAAAGTCAGTTCCGAACTCAATGTACCATCTCGCCATGCAAAGCACTCACGAAGTCCCACTGCATGCCCCACTGGAAACGCCTCCAGAAATGACGTCGCAGTACGTCCCCGCGGCGAGGGAGGTCGTGAACGTCCCAGACCACTCGGAGTTTTGATTGTTGATTATCACGAACCCATTGGTGCCTATTAGTCAATGCAATTCAGCCATGGGGAAGAGGAGGGGAGCAGGTAAGCAGACCTCGACCGAAAGCGATCTGCTGGTTACCAGGGGAGACCCAGTTCGTGATCTCGGCGGAGCCAACGGTATTCCTGAATCCGACCATCCCGGCGAACGCAATCCAGCGATGCTGGCACAACCTGTGCATGCATTGTACATAGTCTGCACATGAAGCATGTGACAACCAAACGTACCAGCCGTTCTCGCCGCCCGTGCCTGAGCACGTCCCCGCGCCCGAGTTAGGCGCACCGGCATCAGTGTCGGAGAACTCGTAGCTCGAGAGGACTGTCGGCGTCCCGTACGGGTGGGCCCTTACAATTCCATCGTCGTTTACTCTCTGAGCACAAGCAAGTAAAGGGGGAGGACGCACAGAGAGAAAATCGTCGCAAGGACGTATGCGTTGTTCGAGGACTTGTAGTTCAGCGAGTTCCCGTTCTTTGTTGGCCCGTTCGTCAGGACTTCTGATAATGCCGGAGATGAGTTGTGCTTACCCGCTCGGTATCGTGGTTGGCTACAAACACGTTCGCCTTGTCACCCGCCACCCACCCTGCCCGGTGCCAGTCAGCCTCCGGGGGTCCGCGAAGACCGCCAGCAGTCTTATAAGACTCACCCTGGTTGTCCAAGTCCTGCAGACCAGAGATGCCGTTGCTCGTGAACGCACCCTGCAGTGTCGATGTGTAGCGGAATCTCCACGGAGACATGAGCTGACAAGCGCGGACACTTGAGGCGAGTAAACACCTTACTCCTGCGCATCACCGATGCCGGTGTACTCCGACGGCTGGATCGGCTCACCAGCTCCATAGATGGTCTATGTAGCGTAACATCGGACAGACAAGTTAGGAAATGTAGGGTCGGGAAAGGAAGGAACGCAGGAGAACGAACCTCGGAGGTGATGTAGGGCGAGCCGGTGAAGCGGCTTGTAATATCCGCCAACGAGTCCGCGGCGATATCTTCAAGTATTACAGCCCGATTTAGTATTCTATATGCAGGTCACTCGTAAATACACGTACGCTTCGCAGCATCCAAGCGTAGCCCGTCCACGCCGAGGCTCAGGAGGTCGTTCACATAGTCCGCGAGCTTTCCCTTCACGTAGTCGGACTCCGTGTTCAAGCTGCCGCGTGTGGGAGGTATGGTTAGCACTCAGTGTGTGGCATTAGGGTGCTGCTAGCGCGCACTCGGCTAGGTTGGTGAGTTCGCATGTCTGCACCTCGGTACGGTTGTCGTAGTTCGCGATGTCGTCACCGGCGCTGCCACAGTGGTGGAAGTCTTGGTACTGGTAGAGGTTGGGGTAGTTATAGTGCGTGAAACCTGGTATACGCGCACGTTAAATGACATCGTGCGGATGTTCAGAGGATTGTCCCTTACTCGTCCCGCCTGTCCCAGTTCCGGATTCCACGCCCGCCATGTGGTTGAGGACTGCGTCTGCGAAACCAACCTCCGTACGCACGCATGCGTGTATGCTAAAACGGACCTACCTGCAATGATCCTCACACCGGCGGCGTGGCAGGTGTCGATCATATTCTGGTAGGAGGCGCGATCACCTCTTTTACCCGTCAAGGTGTACGAGACAGGTTGATAGTCCGTCCACCACTGATCACCTGCGGAGAATGAACGTGGAACGTAAGTCTCACCGGAAGGTGTCTGAACTCGGAGGGATTGGGCCGTACCCGTGATGGTCTCCTGTGCGGGGCTCGCTTGGAGGTCTTTAGCTTGCGTGTAATCAGTGAAGTACTGATATGCATTTACCCTGTACAAAGCCGTAGCCTTGACTAGGGTTAGTATTGGGAAGGAGGACACGCGGTAAAGTGCCTCACCGGCTGGCCCTAGGAAGTTCGTACATTCTGAAGCAATACTGTCCCTGGACGCATATGTGAGACGGGGACCGGAGCAACTTTGCTGCTAAATACTTACCATGACCATTCGAACATCTGCACAATGACAGCTTCCGGGGAAGGATGTGCATTAGTAAAAATATGGTTCCTTGGACAACAGGCTTACTTTTGTCGCCCGAGGGGCCGCGGGGGGCCAATGCGATGGGGCTGGCATTGACCAGAACTGCTAGAGCCACAACGCCGAGGAGACAGACGGCGAACATTGTCTGGACTTCAAGTTGGTGAGAGAAACGCAGATCCTAGCTCTGAAGCTGGACGAGGAATATATCACACACATCGAGCCTCTTTTATAGGGCTCAGACTGGTTAACCTTTTGGGACGCCGTGCGCGATTAAGTCTGTGGTTGAGCATATGGGGACCCAAGGATGTGGCAACATCGGCTACCAGTCGAGTATCAAGCATCTTGCGACCGTCGCACTCAGCGACGACCATCGTGTTCTGCCCAGCGGTACCGAGTTAAACCATACCATGCACCTTTTATGAGGTGTAGCGGCGGAAAAGGAAAGTTAGGGCTCACATCACTCTCACCTCCCTCGGCGAAGACGCTTAACCTTAATGCTTCCGACGCAAGCCATCATACGCCATCTTCCCATTGCATCATCTCTACTGCCTCTACTCTGGTTCTTTGTGGATTCGAAGGATCGCATCCCCAAGGTGTCAATAAGCAGGTAGCTAGGTAACCAAGGCCGTCGGGGTGTCCATGTGCATTGTGGAATATTTGATTGGTCTGATAACAGTCGGCGCTTCCTGAATTGCGCCACAATCAGCACTCGAACTCAATAGCCCAACTCAATATCGTTTCTCGTTTTCATTTTCTCGGGCGCACTGGCACCCCTCCTGCCGACGCGGCGACACGGAGAAACCCGAAGTTATTGAGCGTGCATTTTCTGGCGGATTTCTCGTCGCATGCTAGACACCACAGCTGTCAGATAGCTCGTGCTCATCCCACGTGCTGTATTCTATGGCGGACTGGGATGGTATGTGGCAGTATCAGCAGGGTCACTATACTGGCCCTGCCCTAGCTCAGTAGTTGCAAGGGTGCCAGAACACAACTTAGTGCGCGTCCAACAGCGCGTCACAACAAGCCAAAACATATCGTATTAGGCAAGACATAAGCAACCGAGAGCCTGGTACATCAGTACAGCGCATGGCAATTGAAAGTCCGCCCAGAGAAACGAGAGAAACAGCT